TGCTGCTGCAGCTCGTGAAAGGCGACGGCCGCGCGCAAAGCGGACCGCGGCTCCGCCGCCCCAGCGCCGGGGAGGGCGGCGTCGAGGGCCGCGGCGTCGAGCAGCTGGACGGCGCCATCGCCGCGCGCCTCGCTCACCGCGAACGCGCCCCCGTCGGAAGGGACGATGCCTGGCAGCGGCGGGGACGGCCCGCCGAGCCGCGCCGCGGCGACCTGCACGAGCGCGGCGACGGCGGAGCAGAGGGGCGAATCGTGCGGCGGAGGGCCGTCGGCGGCCGGGGCTAGGAGGGCGAGGAGGAGGGGCTCGAGCGACTGCTCGCCCCACCGCCCGTCCGAGAGCGCCTCGGGCGAGGGAGAAGATGCGGGGCGGGGAGGCGTGCGGGCGGACTAGGAAGGAGGGGCTTCCCCGTGTCTGCTGGCGAGCAGTGTCTGCTGGCGAGTGTCTGCTGGCGAGCAGTGTCTGCTGGCGAGTGTCTGCTGGCGAGCAGCGCGCCTCCGCCGGGGGAGAGCGGGCCGCCGAGCTGGTGGCCTCCGAGGGGGGCGGGGGCAGAGGAGAGGGGCTCGGCGAAGGCGGCGAGTGCGAGCAGCGTCGCCGCCTTGACCTGTTCGCAGCTCGAGGTGTGAGGAGACGCTGCTCACAGCTAGAGGCGAGCCGCGTCGCCGCCTCTAGCTGTGACCTGAGGGTCCGCCTGCGTCTAGGAAGTGTCTAGGAGGTGTCTAGGAAGTGTCTAGGAAGTGTCTAGGAAGTGTCTAGGAAGTGTCTAGGAAGTGTCTAGGAGGTGTCTAGGAAGTGTCTAGGAAGTGTCTAGGAGGTGTCTAGGAAGTGTCTAGGAAGTGTCTAGGAGGTGTCTAGGAAGTGTCTAGGAAGTGTCTAGGAAGTGTCTAGGAAGTGTCTAGGAAGTGTCTAGGAAGTGTCTAGGAAGTGTCTAGGAAGTGTCTAGGAAGTGTCCAGGAAGTGTCTAGGAAGTGTCTAGGAAGTGTCTAGGAAGTGTCTAGGAAGTGCCTTCGAACCTGAGGGTCCGCCTGCGTCTGCAGCAGCGCCACGAGGCCCTGCACCGCGCCCGCGCTGTGCCATTCGAGCCGCAGCGGCTCGGCGCGGGCGGCGAGGGCGGCGAGCAGGCGCAGCGTCGCCGCCCAGCGAGGGAAGCACGACGCGAGCACACGCACGACCTGCTCCGACTCCTGCACCGCGCCGCGCGCGCGCAGCATGTCTACCTCGTCCAGCCTCTCGCCAATGTACTCGTGGAACCGCAATGACTGCAGCGG